CATAAATAAACCCATGTGTCTACAGTCTTTACCCACACCCAAAATGCAAAAGCTAATTCTAATGTATACATTTGAATTAGAGAAATAAATTATCTAAAAACTAAATCTACACAACTCTTAAAACATTAAAGTAAATCTTTATGATCTCAGGTATGTCAATATGTTCTTAGGACATCTAAAACACAAGCAACAAAAGAAAAAAACAAATGAATTGAACATTGTTGTCTTATTTTAAGAAATGGCCACAGCCACACCAACCTTCAGCGACCACCACCCTGATCAGTCAGCAACCATCAACACTGATGCAAGACCCTCTCACCAGCAAAAAGATTATGACTTGCTGAAGGCTCAGATGAGTGTAAACATTTTTTAGTAATAACGTATTTTTCCATTAAGGTATGAACATTGTTTTTTTAGATATAATACTACTGCAGACTTAAACTACAGTATAATGTAAACATAACTTTCATATGCACTGGGAAACCAAAAAATTAATGTGATATTCACTTTATCGTGGTGGTCTGGAACCAAACCCGCAATAATATTATCATCTGAGGTATTCCTGTATAAAGAAGGGGCTCGGCTTCATTCATGTGAATATTTAGTAGTTCCATCAACATTTGCGGAAACAGTTTTTCTTTCCCCCATTGAATTGTCTTGGCAGCCTTGTCAAAGATCAACTAATCATTCTGGATTCTCAGGTCTATTCCATTCCAATAATCTTTTACCAAATTCCTTTTCTACTCAATCCGGTGGAGACTGTTTCTTGCTTACAATTACAAATGCTGACTGGTACTACTTTTTTCAAGTGTTCGAGAATTCTTGTATGTAGGCTAATCCCATTTTTTTTTTGACTATAGATGCTGTTTCTATTTACCATAGTCAATATCTAGTGATTGTAGAAGAGGAGGGGTTGTGCCACAGGATGAGATACATCAAGTTTGTCAACTGGATAGGGAATCATTCTCTTCCTGGGGCTTAGCAGCTGCAGAATCTACCCTCAGTACTTTGGTCTATATGCAAACCCTGCCATAGCCTGCTACTAGGCAGGAACATGGGAGAGGATCTCAAAAAGCAATGCTTAGGTTATTCATGCTATTGCCTCAGGGACCCATTCTAATTTTAGTAACTTGTTGGGAGGATTCCTCCTTGTTTTTGAGAAGGAACATCCCTAGAGTAGTCCTCTTGGACTCTCTTGGTCCCCTTTCTCACTCCTTCCCAGGGAAGAAGGTACAGCTTATCTGATTGATGAGGTTAGAAAAAAGAACTATGTACGTGTGGCTCAGTCTCTTCTCGCTTTGGTATATACTATATAACTTGCCTGCAACAGGGTGCTCTGTGTTCTGCTTTCTCTACAGGCCTATAGTTTTGGGAGCTAAAGCATTTTGCAGACAGAGCAATGCACCAAGCATTTGGCAGACACAGCAGTGCACCAACAGTGCACTATCTTCTCACACACCTAAGCTATCCTTTCCACCTAAGTTTGTATCGGCTATGAAGCTGACATTTTGATGTATATACGAGGTTGGGTGAATGTATATAAAAGAACAGTAAGAAATAAAGCTAAGAAAGCAACCGATTAGGAGACAAAAGTAAGATCAAGAGACATGTAAGA